TAGATGGGGCCAGAAAAATAAATTATTAGGATTTGGCTTCAGTATAAACATCAATTGATTTATTCAACTTAGTTTTTAAATACATTTTGTATTAATTAAATTAATTCAATTTGGAAAGCTTAAATGTTATTTCTGTTCAGGGGTTTGAGTTCTAATAATTATTGGAGTTTGTGGCAATGGAGCAGCATTAATGGCATTCACAGACTCTGTATAAAGCATTGCAATGTGTCAGGATATCAGCTGGCTCCTTGAGAATGTCTTCTATGACAAAACGTGGGGCTCAGCCTGTGCTGACTTCATCATGCCTTCATCTAGACCAAGTGGCGGCTGGTTTGTCTTACTGTTTGAATGATTTAGTTTCATGCAAGTAGATTTGCCTTTTACTAATAAGTGCAATAGCAGATTTGCACTATGAATTTTGTTATTTGTGTCTTTTGGTGGAATCCTAATCTTTGCTGAGTGGAGGTATGAACTTTAGCTGAGTTTCATTGATCCTTGCTGTGTGCCTTGTAATTCCCAATCCTTAATGGGTAATACTGTGATGATCCTCAGGCATTTACCTTAAGTGTGAATTTACCTCTTATGCTTTGAGGTCTTTTTGTTTGGTAAGAGGCTAATTTTTTTCATTTATTGGTGTTGGAATCACAAGGGATTTTGAAAAAGTCCTTACATCATTGGATAACAATTATATTGGAAGTTTTGCACTTAGAGTGATATACATCTTTATTCATTTAAAGTTATAGCACAACAATTTTCACATTTAGATATTTCATAGACATAAACCTACTTTGCCTATTTGGTGTAAAACAATATTGCAACTACCAAGTGCAATTTGAACTGCTGTATTTATTTATCTTCAGTACTTCAATGTGTTTCCAATACTTAAACACTTCTTGAAAACTCCTGGGCGTGTTGTAAAGAGAATTGATGAGCTTAATGAAGTTTTGCTGGAGCTTTTTAAACAAGCACAAGAGTCTAAATGTGAAGATTCCTTCAGAACTTACAGTGAAGCCTTCCTACAGAAACAAGAAAGGGTAAGCATCATCCAATACAAATACAGAATAGCTTTCTTATTCTTGGAGAAAATTTTAGTTGTGGAGACTGTACAAAAAAGCAAAGGTATTGTCCACATCAAAGTGTAATAAAATTTCTTCTGACTACTAAGTTTCTCCACCATGCAGTAAAACACATACAGAATGGACTCTCACCAGCTATCAACACCCTTAGATATCAGTGGGTCATATCAGGCATGATGCAACAAATGAAAATCCATCAGTTGTCTCATTCATTCTCTCTGGTCCCCTCTCTATACCTCCATCAGTACCCTGGATCACTCCAAGAGATCATGGGGGAAAGCAAGAAGGCCCTGCCCATAGTGTATTACGGTTTAAAAACAGGATCCATTAAAACAAAGACGGTGAATACCCTACTCCCAGTTCCCATGCAGTATCTGATGCCACTGCCTTGACATGCTTCGTCACATGGACTTTGTCAAGAGGATCCTCTACACTATGGGAGGATCCCCTGCAATTTGTTTGAGCAGTCCAGAGTACTGATGGAAGCCTGAAGAGCAGACCTGAGAGACATGAGGTGGAGTTTAATCTATGAGGTGGAGTTTAATCTATTGGAGTTGACATGAGGTGGAGTTTAATCTATTGCATACTGCCTGATATGACTCATTGATATCTAAGGGTCTTAATAACTGGCGAGAGTTAATTCTGTATGTGCTTTTTAACAGTTTTTTTTATTGAGTTACGCAAACAGATACAGCGGCCAAGTGGCTGGACCCACACAGAGGTAGGCCACCCAGCAGAAGACATAACACAAAAGAACATAATTCAAACGGAAGAAAAAAGAGATGGATTACCAAAAAAAAAAAAGAAAAAACGTGGCTCATATAAACAAGTTGGATAAGTACAGGAGTAGGAGATATGCCTGTAAAAGAAATGCACTGGTGTCTCCCATAGAGGACAGAGTATATGACTGAGAAAGAGAGGTAAGCATGGCCCATTTGTCCATTCTGTATGTTTGCTATACGGTGGAGAAACTTAGCGGTGGGAAGAAATTTTATTACATTTTGCTGTGGACAATTTGTGAAGTTAAACAAAGCTTTTGCACTTTTATGTGGACACGAGGACTTCTTGTTTTTCTTTGGAATAACTTTTCAATTTACTGTATGCATTGAATATATGTTTTATGTTCACTATTTGATGTGTCACATAAGGTATGTTATTGTTATGATACATTGGAGATTTACGTTCACTTTAACCTCTTTCTGGAAAAGTGCTCACCAAGTACTGTGGAACTCCTGAAGTTTAAATGGTCAAGAACACATATGCTGTAGCCTGAACAGGATGGTCAACATCCAGCAGCACTTCAATAATAATGTATTTAAGTTTAATTATTCAAAAAGCTGTATAAAATGTTATACTGACTACATTGGTTGGAAATCTGCACAACAATGTCACCAGTCTCCATCCAAGATGTGTTCAGGGGCTGCCTCTATAGTGCCTCTGGTTATAATCCTGGTCTGATTTTGCAGTTTGTCCCACTTGCTGAATTTGCTGAAATCCAGTGTCATAGAATAATACATTTATAAATGTAGCGCTCCTTAAAAATATATTAATCCATGCTTGTGATTTGTGATAAACGCATAACATAATCAAATCATACTTTTATAGATAAAACAATTATAATGACATGATTTAAAAAAAAATGTCCACATATAAAAAAATTTGATTATTACTTTACTCTAAAAAAATATATAGTCCCATTAATCAATAAGTGATCCAAAAATCGTGACGTGGTGACTTATTAATCATAAAATAGTGACTTTCCGTGATCCTCCAACCAGTAAGATTGTGCGCTCACCTCCTTCTATGCCTAAAAAGTAGGCTAAGTCACCACGTCACAATTTTTGGATCACTTATTGATTAATGGGACTATATATTTTTTAGAGTAAAGTAATAATCACATTTTTTCATATGAGGACATTTTTTTTGAAATCATGTCATTATAATTGTTTTATCTATAAAAGTATGATTTGATTATGTTATGCGTTTATCACAAATCACAAGCATGGATTAATATATTTTTAAGGAGCGCTACATTTATAAATGTATTATTAGGTTGCACAGTTTGAGTTATGTGTTAAATGTTGGCGATCCATAGATACACTTGATTGAATATATAGTTTGGCTCGCAAGTCACATACATTTTTTGCAGTGTCATAGAATGTCCTGTTCCACACCTTTTCTTTCTGAAAACATGGGGATTATGTACTATTTATAATATTCAACTGAAATATATCAATGGATACCATTGAACATTCACAATGACATTGTTCATACTGTATTCTGGATCCATTCCCCTTGCAAATCTCTTAGAAACAATAAGTAGAGGGATTTGTGAATCTGAATGAAGAAGGTTACACAGAGCATAAAAGTCCTGCTAAATCTGTTCACAAGGAATCATGGGGAAGATATATATATATCATATTTATTGGAAGCATATAAAGTGTTTAAAGATGAATTTCAGGCATTGTATATTTTTACATAGCTACATTGGTCCAGCTAGAATGATGCCCATAGAAAATACTGAAGTAAACACTACTTTGGTGGTATCCGCTTGCTCCGAGTCCCATGCAGAGCAGAATGATGAAATGTGAATACAGGAGGTTGGTCACTTGGCACGGGAGCCATTCAGATAATTTTCTGAATGGATGCCAAGCATTCTCTGATTGGAAGAGGTGGACAGTGTGATGTCACCACCCTGCCTATCCACCTCTTCCAATCAGAAAACATTGTGCATTAATTAAGGAAATGCAAAGCATTCTCTGCATGGTGCCCATGCTGAGTTGCCAACATCATGTGTTCAGAATGCACTGGGCTCAAAACAAATGGAGATCACTGAAGAAGCTGTGTCTACTTCAGTGATTTCAAGATTCCAGTTCTATTAACCAGATATGGTATGTACATAGCTACATTGGTCCAATCTGGACCAATGTAACTATGTAAACATATATCATGGCAGTAATTCTTTAAACTTGCCTAACTGGGAAAATAGGTCATTAGTTTGAAAATTAATACCTGGGTTATGGCTGCAGCTAGATGCCATAGCCCTGTATTAATTTTTCCCTTAGGCACCTGACTTTTTTTAAAAAAGTGATACGAGTGGCAGATTCGCTGCTAGATCACTTTTGGGAGCGGCGAGAGGGGTCGCTCACCCTTTCCTGCCACTTTCTGGTGGTCCCCGAGCTCACCTGCATGATCAGTAGCTCTCAGAAGCGATCCAACGTTGGCAGCAGCTGAACATAGAGATGAGTAAAGAAGATGGCCTCCATTCATCTCTATGGCCTAGGTGGACCAGAGCGACGTCATGACACCACTTCCGGTTCCGGCGCCATGTCAACAATGCCAATTTTTTTTAAAGCAAAAGATCAAATCTTTTGTTTTAGCAAAAACAAATGTAAAGGGACAGTGTAAAAATAAAGAATTTAATAAAATAAATAACAAATAAAATGTTAAAGCGTCCCCACCCCCCATGCTCGTGCGCAGTAGTAAACACATACATAGATCATGTGCATATATGTATACGTTCGCACTACACATGTGAGGTATTGCCATGAAAGCCAGAATGAGAGCAATAATTCTAGCACTAGACCTCTCTGTAAATTCTAAACTGGTAACCTGTAGAATTTTTTAAAGCATCACCTTGTTTTTTTTTAATTTGTTAAAGTGTATTTTTTTTTTGCATTTAAAAAACTGCTTTGCAAAAAACCATGTGATAAAAAATTGCAACGATCACCATTTCATTCTCTAAGGCCTCTGCTAAAAAATATAATGTTTGGGGGTTCTAAGTGATTTTCTAGCAAAAATTACTGAGACAAAGTGCCAGAAAAAGGTCTGGTCCTTAAGTGGTTAAAAATGTTAATGATATTAATATTTGCCCAAAAGGAAAAGGCATTGGAGGAGAAAGAAAAGATCTTTACAGAGAAGAACATGTTGGCTTCTACCTTTGATCTCATGCTTGGTGGTACGGAGACAACCTCAACTACATTACAGTGGGCCATCCTCCTCATGATGAAATACCCTCATATACAAAGTAAGACTTTTAGCAGGTTACTCATTGGAAAATAATGATGACAAATTATAGAATTTGCTTTTACTGAGTATTTCTCAAGACTAGGGAGAATCAACTTAAAAGAAACTAATTTAAAAAGCAGAATATCCTAGAGTTCTTTGAGAAAGAAGTCTCTGTTTTGAGTAGGGAATACTCATGACCCCCTTTCAACACCTATTGGCTAACACATTGCCCTACCCTTGCCTCTCCTTCAGAAACTCACAGATTCTAAGCCCTATTCTCCTGCTCTTTTTTACTAGCTGATGTATTGTGCCTCTGTTTGCCTATTCCAGTCACAGCAATCGGAATACTCTAACAATCATCAGGAATCAGCTAGATAATCAGGCAGAGGGCAGCTTTAACTTAAATTTTACTAAACATGTGCAGGGTAGAAAAAATAGCCAAAGGTGTGCATACAGTACAGAACAATGTAAAACCAAGTATGAAGCTGTACAAACAAGAGCTTACAACGGCAAGGTTTCGGTACAGAAATAAAGACACTAGGTAGTACAGAAAGGTTTCTATAAGGTTCTGTAACCACAGATATTAGAAAATGATCAACATTTCAGTAGCAGATACTTTTCCATAGCATCTGTGACAGCATCTTTCACAGTAAAGACCAGGGTAGGCCTGGGGTGAAAAGCTGGAGGGATCTTTGGGCTGCCACCACAGGCAGGTGGTTGGAGGATTCCCAGGGCTGGTAACCACAGGCAGACAACTGGAGACATTGGGCCACCCCACTTGGAGTGTAGTACACTGGTAGCATTGAAGCAATACTGCTTCTCTGCACTGTCTGCAGTGACTGGGTCCTCCGTAGAAGCTGCGTGCTATTGGGCTCCTGCCCAGCTGTTTGCAGTCCAGGACTTACAGTGGATGACAGTTGACTGCAGATCACATGCCCAACCGCCTCTGCCTTATTGCCTTTGCCTTAGTGCAGTCTCTCTGAGCTACAGAGGAGGGTAACAGGAAAATATAATCCATGGTCATGCCTAGGTGCTTATGGGAACTCATGGGATTGTGGGAAAAGGAGTTGTGTGAGCATTGTGGGAAAAGGAGATGTGTGAGCATGCTGAGCCAAGGGGTACTCCACTGGAGTAATAGACAACAACATGCTACAAACCAAAAACAACCCTTTAGTTTTATAATAAAAAATAACCTTAATTGTGAAAACTTAAGTAAAGCTAAACTCTCAGTTGGCAACAGTTTCAGGGTTGCCAGCGCACAATTAAATATTGGAAAGCTAAATAAATAAAAGAGCTAATTAAAACTCTGTGAATTTGCTATGCTGAGCTTGTGTATTTGAATAATAAATATCAGAATGTTAAAGGCACAGCATATCTGAGTTACAGCAACGTAAAACCTGTTTGGATTGTTCAGATATCAAAGGCACCGCATCTCTTAATAAATATAAAATTATTTAAATTCTAAAACATTCTTGGACTTTGAAGGTGCTGTCCAAAATTAGCAACACTGAGCAATATTCTTTTAAAAAGTGTCCATTTTATCGGCACAAAATTCAATAAAATGCAGGTGACAAATAAAAATAGATGCTACATATTTAAATGTATAAACTCATTCCTCTTACATGAAATGTATAATTGTGGTAACCATTACTAGGATGATTAGATCCTGGAGCCCTAGTATTATATGTGAGTATTCCAATTAGGGAAGTTTTTTAATTGACCAACATGTGCCTAAGATATCCAAAAAAGGGAATTGCATGCTGCATATATCATGTACCCTCTTAACAGTTGTAATTATGATTTGTTTGTGGTAACTGTATTGGTATAAAGCTCATTTCCTCTATGTATGAGTTTTTGTTCAATGACCTCAACTTTGTGGCATCAGAGAGGTACCAGTCCTACGTATATCATATTGATATCTAGCAAGAACATATCAACATAAGTTTACTTACTATATTTATAACAAGGAAATTGTCAAGAAAACTTTCCCCTACCAGTAAATGGGAACATTACCTGTATGTGCTCCTACAAAGGGAGAATTATATTCCTTTTAATTATATACCTGTTGATATATAATGACTATACCCACCAGTCATGACTATGTGATAGATGGTTGATAGGTGAGAGCAAGCTGCTGTAGTTTTTGATCAATAATGGAATTCTAAAATTATATTTGTTATGCATTACAATGAATATATCAATAAATAGATCATTTATAATTGTGAAAGTTTTTCAACGTCATCTAAAATCACAAGATTTTCCTTCTTAAGAAAAAGTTCAGGATGAGATTGAAGAAGTGATTGGGCTGGAGCGTCCTCCGAGATGGGATGACCAGAAGGTGCTGCCTTACTGCCTGGCAGTAGTGCATGAAATCCAACGTATTGGTAACATCATTCAATACTTAGCGCACATTACACCCACAGATATCACCTTCAGAGGCTACACTATACCTAAGGTAAGTGGACCTTCACTCAAAGAATTTTCACCATTCTAATCCTCCCCATCCCAGTTACATATTTGTAGGTAGTTTTTTTTGGGGGGAGGGGGTACCTTATTTTTGATCGGCAGTTTGGTAGCATGTGCATGTGTAGTGGTGTTTCAACAGCTATCTTTGATTTGGGAGCTGGCTGTTACTTCCTGATCACTTAGCTGGCTTCCAAATCAAAATGGCAGCATGGGAAAAGAAAAAGCTGAGAAGACTCCGATTTGAAGCAAAACCATGATGAACTCTATGGGCTAGTAAGTATGTGTTATGTATGTCTGATGATCAACTTCTCTTGAAAAGGCTTGTTGGAAAAATTTCCTTCAATCAGCACCATAGCCAATAGGTTGCAATGCAGATCAGCCCCTCTGTCAGAGTACAATAGCACTGTGGGGAGGATTCTTCCATCCACTTTGCTTGTTCAGACGGTGGAATCAGTTCAGTTTTTTTCAATAAGCCCACTGTTTTTGTTTTAAAAATGGATCCATGTATGGCCAGCCTAAAAACATTTTTGTGTGTGGGACCTGCCCTTTGGGCTTTCAAGATACAGTATATTAAGGAACATTAAAAGAATTATTCATTACATCACAAGAAACACAAAGGAATTAAAGCTTCACACTCTATTTTGTCCCCTCAAAAACCAGGCACAAGCTAACCATTCTCAGAAACCACCTCAATACCTTAGCGTTTATTATGTTTTCCTGCTAGCTGGAGCTCACTTCTGTTTAGTCAGGAGGACTTTGTACCTGGGTGTCTTAATTCCAGGCTACAAATATATCTGTGTAATATGGAATTTGAAGGTGATGTTGAAAACGTCAAGACAAATCCTCTTCACATACATCTGTTAACAATGGGCTGCTTTGTGTCCTACAAGAGAAAAGCATGTTTATTATTGTGGTTAGTAGTAGAAGGACATTTGTTGCTTATGATATTGGAATTAAAAGTTATCTTATCTATTATTTAACAGGGAACCCCGGTGGTCCCTCTTTTTACATCAATTCTATATGATGAAACCAAATGGGAGAGCCCTAGGGAATTTAACCCCAATCATTTCCTTGATGCTGATGGGAAGTTTATGAAGAGAGATGAATTCTTTGCTTTCTCCAAAGGTGAGTAAATAAAATACTGGCTACACAACTGTTATTACAAGGGATGCATCAGAACCCACTAACAATTTGCTTTGCTCTGCAAAAATAAGAAAACCATAGTTCCCCTTTTCTAACTTCCCCCACACCATTACACCACCATCCTGAACCATTGATATAAGACAGGATAGATCCATGCTTTCATGTTGTTTATGCCAAATTCTGAACCTACCATCTGAATGTTGCAGCAACCAGTCTGTCCATTCTCCTCTGACTTCTGGCAATCAGCAAGGCATTTTTGTCCACACAACTGCCACTCACTGGATATTTTCTCTTTTTCGGACCATCCTCTGTAAACCCTAGTAGATCAGCAATTTTTTAAATGCTAAGACCAGTTCATCTGGCACCAACAACCATGCCACATTCAAAGTCACTTAAATCCCCTTTCTTTCCCATCCTGATGTTCGGTTTGAACTTCAGCAAGTCGTCTTCACCACGTCTAGATGCCTAAATGCATTGTGTTGCTGCCATGTGATTAGCTGATTAGCAATTTGTGTTACCAAGCAATTGAACAGGTGTAAAAAAATCAAAAAATAATTTGCGCTAGTAAATAAATCACAATTATACCTATAAAAATAAACAAATTTTGTCAATATAGATCATGAATATAAATAAATAACTGAAAAAAAATGTATATGAAAATAAATAAATAAATGAGTAATATATATAAGTGTCCAAAAGAAGTTCAAAATGAGATGTGTAAATTCAAGTCCGAAAAAGGTGCACAAAAGTACAAAGTTTTTCGGACTTGAATTTACACATCTCATTTTGGACTTCTTTTGGACACTTATATACAGTATATTATTCATTTATATATATTTTTTTTCATATATATTTTTTTCAGTTATTTATTTATATTCATGATCTATATTGACAAAATGTGTTTATTTTTATAGGTATATTTGTGATTTATTTACTAGTGCAAATAATTTTTTGATTTTTTTGCACACTTTATTTATGGTGGTTTTTACGGCCGGTACATCAGAAAGTGATCTCTTACCATAGGCGCCATTATATTTACTTACTATTATAATAATTGAACAGGTGTACCTATTAAAGTGGCCGGTGAGTGTATATGCTACCTATTTGAAACAATCTGCCCATAGTTGCACATTAAGTGCAAGTCATAGACAGTTAGATGTCTTCTTTATTCTGCTGTATTTGGGAAGCTTAGAAAAGCTGGACCTGTACTCTTTCCTCTGCCCTCACCTAGACTGTGGCATATTCAAACTGCAAGCTGCACATCCAGTGCCATTGAACAGACCTTAAAGTGAGGTTAAAGCATTCAAACTGAGCCTGATGGTGTTTGTTTTTTGTTCATCTGGATACTTGACACTTCACATTGCTTTTCGTTGAAGCTTAGACTACCCACACATTCTGCCTCTGCCTGCTTTGTATCCTGACCTTCTGCCTGACACAATTGGGTTGCACCTTAGTGAGTGTTCCAGATCTCCTACTGGTGACACTGAGACTGCACTGGACTCCATGACATTAAAGCAGTGGCTCCAAAGAATAATAGGGGCTTTACTGGTACCTCTGAGATGGCATTTCAGAAGAAAGGGGTGAGGAAGGAGTGATATCTATGACTGCTTTGTGTAGTGTCAGGAGTGGTGGTCAGTGTACTTCAGAGGAAGACAAGAACAGTACTGTATATAAGTGAAAGTGAATAATGGCCAGTCTGAAACAGTTCCCACCCCCTTTGATGCTTTCAAGGACAATGCCTTTCCCAGTCTAAACACAACAGCAGTAGATGTAACACATGGGAAGTGCAAGAAAATGGAGTGTCTTCTTTAACCCTAACTTTGCCCTGATAACCATGTATTTTTCATTTCCACACAGGACGCAGGGTGTGTGCTGGGGAGAGTCTGGCCAGGATGGAGCTCTTCCTGTTTTTCACAGGAATGCTACAGAAGTTTACTTTCACTCCTCCACCAGGAGTGAAAAAAGAAGACTTGAACCTCACTGCAGATGCTTTCTTCATTATGAGACCTAAGAGCTACTATGTTATTGCTACACCCAGAATATAGACAGTTGCAAAAATAAAATAATGACAACATATGCAGTTTGCAATTGATTTTTAAGAGGTAATGCAGCTCTGTGGTCTGAGGAGTGGCATGTAGTATGTGGCCTTCTCCTACATTATGGAGCATGTTGCCTTTCACAAGCTGTTTCGCTGCTTTATGCCAAGGCTTGAGTACATTTATTTTAAAATTCATGTTCATGCTTGTGTGACAGATATTGGGAATTATGCATTTTACAACATAGCTTCTATGTAATACTATATGATATACTGTATACTACTAATGTGGTATACAGTATGTAGTTCAGCAAGAGTTAAGATATGCTGTAGGTATGCTGTGGAAACCTTAGCACTTTTCCAGTTCCAGTCCACCTAAAATTTCTTTTAAAAAATCTCCCCCATAATTGCAACAACCAGCAGTTACATATGATCCTACTGTATTTGATAACATCATGCTCATTTTTTCAAAAATGTAAAATAATCTTAAATTGATCTTGGAAGCAGGCAGGTTCCATGATGGATGTGGGCATCTGAAGCCCGCTGCTTTTACTTTCTGGATTTGGTGCTGTTGGCTATCCCAGCATGCACCTCTCGATCTCACGCATGCACAGTATGGACAGAGTGCGGCGCAAGTTGTTTGTAACAGGTTGCCATAACAACAGCAGAAGTTCATGCCCTGTTGTTATGGCAAGCTGTCAATCAAATGACAATATACAAAGGAAATGATTTCCCTATTTCAAAATGGCGCTGGTCTCTGCCTGGCATTGCGTCATTTCCAGTTTTGAAATAATGCGATGCTACAAGCGGAGGAACCTCGTTGATTCCTGGGATTGATGACTTGTCGATCCCAGGTGTCAATGGGATATGACGTACCTTGCCGCGACGAGGTAAAACGGAAGTGCAGACTAATAAAAAGAATAGGTATGTAAAACGTAAAAAAAAAAAAAAGAAAATATATCCATTAAGCAACTTTTTAAGGAAACTGTATAAAACAAATGGAACTCCGCTTTAAGCTCTTAGAATTAGATTGTGGATTTCATCCAGTTATTTTGTCCCAGTTGATGCCTATCAAGCCGATAGTTATAGAGCTGTACTTTAATGTAGCTTTGCCAGAAGAACAGTGACGTGATTGCCATACACTTAGAACACGCTTATTTGTATCATATCAAGCATATAGTGTCTTTGCTCAAAATGTACGCCTTTTGCATTTATTTCAGCTTGCACTATAATATTGGATGTAAGACAATATATGTGAATAAAGGTTTTACATTAAGAAGTAGTTTAAATAAAATGCAAATATCAGCAAGTTTACTTCTATAAAGTAGGTGACCTCACCTATATAAGTCAAGCAACCAAGAACTTGCAAGAAGCTTTGTAGTGCCATAAATCTTAGAATATTATGTTATAGAGGTTGCACATATTTTGAGGTTTGTAAATCAAAATGCCTGGAGTGTTATTGAATGTTTGTAGGTTTAATGTAGACACACGTAAAGTATGGTTGCCATCAGTCCACATTTGGTGGAGACAGTCCACATTTTGAAATGTGTCTCTGGCAAACAACCTCATTAACGTCCCTGGTGGTAGTAGTATATCTTTGGAGGCAGTCCGATATGTACAGTGGCAGCAGTGTGCCAGATGCTAGAATACTCTGTACATTATAGCACCTGGCACTGAAAGAATCCTGACCAACAATGCTGGCAGAGTTATTTTTACAGTCAACCACTGACCACCAATGCTGGGGGCAGGGTGAGGTTAATGTTTCATCCAGCCATTGATCATCAATGCTGGAGGGAGTATTTATCCGGCAAGCCACTGACCACCCATGCTACAGCAGGGTTATATGTTTTTTGTTTTGGCAAGTAACAGCCCACCAATGCGAGTTACTGTTTCAGCCAGCCACAAACCACCAATGCTGAGGGGGGGTTATTGTCACCTCTAATCATTGCTCACCAAAGCTGGGGGGTTATATTTACAGGCAGCCACTGACCAAGAAAGCTGGGGGGGGGAGGGGTATAGCAATTGAGCACTAGGGGGGGAGTTGTTATTGTTACAGCCAGCCATTGGCCACCAAATCTAGGGTAGGAGTAATTGTTAGTCAGCCACCAATGCTGGGGGGGGGAGGGGAGGATATATTGTTACCTCCAGCTTAATACTGGGGGGGGGGGGGGGTTGTTACCAGCAGCCACTGACTGCCAAGGCTGATACAGATGTCTATGCAAATTGCGCCAAAAGTAGTGCATGTACTACTTTAGAAATCAGTGCGGCTCCGACCAAGTCGAAACTGCACTGATATGACCGCTCTAATTGGGGACAATAGGCTGTGATTTGGCATGCGATTTGCAAGTCACACATGCCAATTCGCATCCAGTGTGACTGGGGTCTTAGTGTGAAGCCTATACAACTCTGCATGTCATGCTTACTAATTCATGAATTTGGAATTTCTCAACATTGATGTAGCAGTCCTGTTAGCAGGCAAGGCCTGATAAGTGTGTAAATTTAGCACAGGATTTCCAAGGAACCTCTTTGTCCTTAAAAATATATCTATATATATATACAGTTGCAAGAAAAAGTATGTGAACCCTTTGGGATTACGTGGAGTTTTGCATGAATTGGGCATAAAATGTGCTCTGAACGTCATCTAAGTCACAACAATAGAAGAACACAGTCTGCTGAACATAATACTACACAAACATTAGATGTTGCCATGGTTTAATTGCACATAACATGTAAACATTCACAGTGCAGGGAGGAAAAAGTATGTGAACCTTTGGACTTAATAACTGGTTGACCCTCCTTTGGCAGCAATAACCTCAACCAAACGTTTCCTGTAGTTGCAGATCAGACCGGCACAATGATCTGGAGTCATTTTGGACCACTCCTCTTCACAAAACTGTTTCAGTGTAGCAATATTCTTGGGATGTCTGGTGTGAATCACTCTCTTAAGGTCATGCCACAGCATTTCAATCGGGTTGAGGTCAGGACTCTGACTGGGCCACTCCAGAAGGCGTATTCTCTGCTGTTGCAGCCATTGTTTTGTTGAATTACTTGTATGCTTTGGGTCATTGTCCTGTTGCATCACCCATCCTCTGCGGAGCTTCAGTTGGCGGACAGATGTTCGTACGTTTTCCTGCAAAATGTCTTGATAAACTGTGGAATTCATTTTCCCATCAATGACAACAATCCGTCCAGGCCCTGAGGCAGCAAAGCAGCCCCAAACCATGATGCTCCCTCCGCCATGTTTTACAGTGGGGATGAGGTTTGATGTTGGTGTGCTGTGCCTTTTTTTCTCCACACATAGTGTTGTGTGTTCTTCCCAAACAACTCAATCTTGGTTTCATCTGTCCACAGTATATTTTGCCAGTAGTGCTGTGGAACATCCAAGTGCTCTTTTGCAAACTTCAAACGTGCTGCAATATTCTTTTTGGACAGCAATGGCTTCCTCTGTGGTGTCCTCCCATGTACTCCATTCTTGTTTAATGTTTTCCTTATTGTAGATGTGTCAACAAAAATGTTAGCATGTGCCAGAGATTTCTGTAGGTCTTTAGCTGACACTCTGGGATTCTTCTTTACCTCATGCAGCATTCTGCACTGTGCTCTTGCAGTCATTTTTACAGGACGACCACGCCTAGGGAGAGTAGCAACAGTGCTAAACTTTCTCCATTTGTAGACAGTCTGTCTTACCGTGGACACATGAACATCAAGGCTTTTGGAGATACTTTTGTAACCCTTTCCAGCTTCATGCAAGTCAACAATTCTTGATCGTAGGTCTTCTGAGAGCTCTTTTCTGCAAGGCATGGTTCACATCAGACAGTGCTTCTTGAAACCAGTAAACCCAAAACAGGTGTGTGTTTTTTAAGGGCAGGACAGCTGTCAGCAACATATCCAATATCATCAAACTGATTGCAGTCAAGGTTGGCTCACTCCTGGCTCCAATTAGCTCTGGGAGAAGTCATTAAGCTAGGGCTTCACATACTTTTTCCTCCCTGCACTGTGAATGTTTACATGTTATGTGCAATTAAACCATGGCAACATCTAATTTTTGTGTAGTATTATGTTCAGCAGACTGTGTTCTTCTATTGTTGTGACTTAGATGACATTCAGAGCACATTTTATGCCCAATTCATGCAAAACTCCACGTAATCCCAAGGGGTTCACATACTTTTTCTTGCAACTGTATATATATATATATATATATATATATATATATATACATATATATATAGATATATATGTTTTTTGTTTTTTTTGCTGGTTATCAATTTTCTGAAAATCCTACTGCTGTTCTTTAGTTCTTTATGCTAAATATTACTACTAACTGTTAACAATAAGCTGCCCTTTTATTTATTTTTTTATGTATTTTTAATATGTACCGGTTACTGTCATGCTTTAAAATGTACCTGTAGGCAATCAGAACACATTAACTGATTTAATAAAGTACAAGGAAAGTTTACAAGATATATCCAACAGCTCTCGATAGTCAAAATTCAACTTTTAATATTGGCTGAAGTAGGTTAACCTCTTCCTTCAACCTCTTATCAGTGGAATGATATCATCTCATATACTGTTCTCTCTCAGTTCATCAAAGAGACCTTGCCAAGGCCTAAAGAGAAGGTGGGAAAAGAATACCTCCCAGAACACAGAATAACACAGCATGCCAAAAAGTTTATAGCTACAAATCACACCTATATGAGCTTGTTGGACATCCCATTCGAAAACTAAGCATTAATATACATAACCCCACATTTCCAAGAAGGCTTTCCACAAGATGTAGGAGTATGCCCATTCAGCCTAAAGAACATTTGTGAGGTAATTTCCAATAAGGTTGCGGTTAAGACCAGTTGTGACGCTAGTGTTGGGCACCCAGAACATATGTCCTGTACCTCCTGCGAACTGCCCAGGGTCCCCAACATCACAACCATCTGCCAATGCTGCAGCCAGCATAGCTCTTTGCTGGATACAGCTGCCTGTGACAGACTACAGAACCAAAGGAACCATCCCCTAGGCTCC